CACCCTCACTGGATTGTTGGCTATGTTACAAGGATAGAAATACTCACAGTATCTATCATGATGCTAAGGCCAAATCTTTGCCCCCTTGTATCATCATTAGGTTGTGTAATCACCTTTAAAAAAAAGAAAGGTTTTATCTTAGGTTTTACAAGTGAAGAAAATATTGCAATCAAAATAAACATTCGCCTTATCAATATTAAATACCAGTTTAAGGCATCATTTCCAAATTCTGTCATCGTTAGTCCATGTCAGCAAAATCAATTGAACAAAACAAATCAAAAAGAGCATTTGCTTGAATTGGAATATATCTGCTTTTGAAACTGGTGTTAGATACAAAGTCAAATAAACAGAAACCATAACCCATCCTTCTTGCTTGTTCTCTTGCTTGAGCATCTCTCATGTTGTTTATCTTTAATATTTTATATATAGTGGAAGAAGGTATTGTCACCAAAGCAAATTTAACATCTTGTTCAGCTAGTGATAAATCACAAAGGATTGTATTACATGGATGTAGTGCTTGCTCATTTCTACAATAGCTTCTGCCAAGGAGTAATTCATTTAATGATGGAGGTTGGCAAGTTAAATGACTTTGAGGCGATGATGCGCCTGAGGATTTTTGTGCAAATGATTGTATTTTTCTTTGTGGAAGGAATGGTATAACTTTCATGATACCCAACAGCACAAACGATTGAGGATGTTTGTTGTTACCATCACTTGCCAGTTACTTGCATATTGACGAGCAGCTGGAGAGATTATATTAGAAAGATAGCTTAAACGTTAAATAGATATTTGATTAGTTTGTGTGAATTTGAAATTTATAATAAAAAATTTTGCGTGTTTGGATAAAATGCAAATGTAACTATTATCATTACAAGACCCGTTTCCAGGTTTACAGCGAGCATATATAGTGTCACCTACATGATTGACAAGTGGTGATGATATGGTCTTTGGGAATTTTCTTGGCTTGCTGAATGATGACAAATTGCAATAAAAAATTTCTTGCGCAACCATGATAGTAATCTAACCTTGGAATGATATATACATTGTTTTAAACACGATATATAATTAGTGCTTGTGGAAGCTGTGATGCTTCTTCTATAATTGATGTCATTCTTTCAACTACATCTTCCATTACATTATGTAATTCAGGTTCTACAAGAAAAGAATTAAATCCCATCTTCACAGTAGTGTCAACACAACGGATGATAGTGTCCTTAATAATCAAGCTAACTTTGGGGGTTTAAACCCTTGGATACTGGCCTTGAGTAACCTTCTTGTTTATATGTAGTATATACCTTTAAAAGACGAAAATGTTGATAAGTAAAAGTAACATGTGTTAATAAGTATCATAAAAGCCGCAGACTGACCTCATTATGATTCCATGTATAAAATAAAGATTTATAATATAATGAGTATATAAAATATTATGGTTATAATGAGTATAAATAAGTATAATAGATGATAGTAATGATATTGAGAATAGAATTTATTAAAAATTTAAATAAAATCCACTCACTTTATACGTGCAAAATCAATTAACATGATCGTAATATATAGTAATATTACTATTCATATGTTTTGTGTGTGGCTAATACAATTAGTTCTTTGAATTATTTCTGTTATTTTCGTAAATTGTTTAAATTATTATTGTATGTACTTCTTAAGTAATCTTCAATATTTTAATATGATGTACTTGTTAATAAATCCTCATCATTTTATGCGAATAAATTATTTTCGTGAATTTGAAATTAGCCAATCAGAATTTGTATCTCCGGAGATTCGCACATCTGCGGATTGTTTTTAATTACCGTATTCTCCCGAATATAAGCAACACCCGAATATAAGCAACAGTAAGAATTTGCAACAAAAAAACAGAAAAAATAGAAAAATAAATATAAGCAACACCTATATTTTGAAACATTTTTTATTTGATTTCTTATTTTTATATAATAAATAAAAAAATAAGAAAATGATGCCCAGTTGATCTTAAACCATATTGTTTTGCATATTGCAAAACTTGGAGCTTTTCAGCAACAGAATATGAAGAACATTTGACTTTTGGCATTGTGTGGGAAAAAAATGAATTAAAACTTAACACAAATGATGAAATAAGGAAACATAATGTAACATAAACAATATCTCTCAAATATAAGCAACACCTACAGTTTATTGACTAAAATGTGGTAAAATGGTGTTGCTTATATTCAGGAGAATATGGTATTATAATGACTTTTTTCCTCAAACATTCTAATTGAAATATATATATGTATAATCATCATCGATCACTTACATAAAAGTAAATCATACACATAGATTATGTAATTATGCCAAAAAATGGTCAAATTATGCTTGATTATACGATTATGCTCAAAAATTAAGAAGTGCACAGCAGTGTTGGAAATTGAGTGCGGGGTTTGTGTTACATATTGAATTTAGCCAATCAAATTTGTTCTTCTGGTAGAAAATTTAATGTTGATTGGCTAAATTCAACATATCCACCGATTTCTGCAATGTCACACGATTTCAGGCTAATTTTTGGGGCACATTTCGTTGTTTTTTGTTTTGTTTTAAGGTACATTTTTGATATGTTACACCATTCTTTATATAAAAATGTAATTTTTACATATTTTTGTTATTATTATGTTTGTTGAGATTCGACGGTGAATTGGATTTAATAGTGAGTGAATTGGATTTTTGTAACCCCTAGATTTATATATATTAATATGTAGTTTTTTAACTTGTAATAATATTTCTAAGATTTAAATATTTTTTTGAATTAATTTCACATTACCACATGCCTTAAATCTATTATTTATATAAAATATAGATGGCATTACAGATTATGGAATGGTGACATGTCTATGTATTGTTAATATTAACATTAATATTAATACTGTAAAGGTAATAATTTATTAGAGTTTTTATTCTTTTTATCTGTTATTATTAGTTTTTATTTTAATTTTTGATATATATATAAATTATAATGCAAAAATCAAGGTGTGAGGATGATTCTATTAAATAAATCATCAATAAAGCTAAGTATAAAAGATTCTTTGCATATTTATCAATTGTTTTGTTGGGTGGTGGTATTTTTCGAATTTAAGTAACTAATTACTTGAAAATCAAACTCCAAAGCTAAACATAGGATTTTAAACTATTGTATGTAGTATTAGGAAAATAAATAAATAAAAACCACAATTTAAAATAGGGATTTTAATTTGAGATAAGATGAAAGTATATTCTGTATATACTACAACATTTCTTAAATAATGAATGAATGCAAAACAGACAAAAGAAATTGAACATTGATTATTATTGATTTTTTCTTTGACATTAAAATGATCTTTGTATCAAATTATTATTATTTTAATAAAATTTAAAAATCTAAACAGAAGTGAAATTATAATGGCGTATATTAATATTAACACAGTGAACCCTTGTTTCAACAAAGTATAATTAAATTTTTGATACAATGAATTGTTAAAAACGTTGTTACACATTATGAAAACATATAAAAATTCATTGAAATATGATTAGTAACCTTGTTTCAACGAATGTTGAATAAAATTTTCTTATATGTCCAGCCACTTTGTTGAAGCAAGGGCAGACTGTATGTAGATTTAGCAAAAAAAAAAGGGGGCGAAATTAGCTTCTAATTCTAGTAACCCCTTAGAAATTTTTATAAATGTGCCCTAAAATGTTGCAGAAATCGGTGGATATGATTTATATTTGTTTTACAATAATTACCACAGTAAAAACCAGTTGATCATGTGAAAAGATTTTGATTCATGTTATAAAAAAAATTTTTTTGCAAAATGTTCTTTAAAGGTGATCTTATTTTTTTTAGCAAATGTGATCTTATGTGACTTATTATTTTCAACATTTGCAATAAAATTTTTTTGGATGTTACATATCATATAAAAAAGAAAAATGTTATCAAAGTGGTGTGTTTCTTCTTTCACCGATGATTTTCCAATTCAAAGTTTTCTTCTTCCGTTTTAAACTTTTTTGCATTTAAAATACCTTATAACTTTAAAAGTATCTTTTCTTTTATTTTTTTATTATAAATTTATCATAAGAAAATTGTATATATAAAAAGTAAAAAATATGACAATAATTGTAAAAAGTATATCGGATGCTAAGGGAGGCGACTCTCCATGATGACTTTAAAGATATTATTGCTAATCCAAAATATGGTGGCTTCGTCAATATAAAAAAATAGATGTCAAAGGAATAACAGGCATTAAAAGTGTTAATATTTGTTAAAGAAAGAAGTTGCTATTTACAATAATAATAATAATAATAAATAATAAAAGACTGCCATTTATATACTATATACAAAATATAAACCTTGTTATATTAATGTTAATAAAAAACTGGATCCATTGAGTTCACTACAGAGATCCTTGGAGTTTCGGTATTAGAATTTAATAAATAAAGTAATTGCCGCCAATTATTTTTAATAACTGCTTCATACTCTCAATCAAAAGTTTATTAGGTTATGATAATCATTTCATCAAGATCTTTTTGATAGTAGAGACTGTTCAATGAAGGTTGATATTTTGTAATTAAGTACATTGTTTTTATTTTTTCAGTATATTTGTTCAAAAACTGTTGCTTGTTTACATAAAAACTCAAGGCAATACAGATTCTTATTGTTAAAATCTAAGGCGGGTTATTAAGTTTTTTGGTAAAATTTTGAGTACCTAAAAAATAATATATTTTATTGTGTAATTTTTGATAATCATGTAGTTTGACTTTATTATCCATGTAGTGCATCATCGCCTTTGTTAATATTAATAAAATATTTTTAAATATAATAAATCTTTTTTTTTAAAAAAAATAAAGGAAATAACCTGCTCATGTAATTTTTTTAGAATAAAGTAAATATAACAATTCACAAGATAATTAACTTTATATTCCTCTTGAAAATAATTAATATATATAAATCATTTTTATCAAAATAATATATAATTTTTTTTTTGATATATAACAAGAAATTATCCTTTTTCATCAGAAATTTTTTTATTTTGTTCCACATCCACATCCACACTCACATTTTCAACATCCTCAATTATTCTAATTGAAGTTTCAGGTACTGGCTCTTGATAAGCCAAAATTGTCATAGTAAATCTTAATGCTGTTACATTCCACAATAATTTACTTAGATAACTATTCAAATCGAACCAAAAGGCAATCTCTAGAGCAAGGATAGCATGTGAAGCCAATATCATAGTTATGATACATGTGTAGAGCACATGTCCAACGATTTTATTTCTAAATCTATCCATTTGAGCACCAAGAGAACCTCCTTTCATTTTGCAATACAAAACTATTGCTATCGAAGTAATTAATGATGCTATTGAAATGATGAAGATCCATATTAACATCTCAGTTGTAATGCTATCACGGTTTGTAATCAGAAAAAGATAAACTAAAATAATTAGGAAAATGTTAATTAGATTACTTAAAACCCTAACAAACATCATAAAATGATTTTTACTATACAAAAACTCTTTCTGCTTATCAAGTATCCTAAATAAAACATATAATAAACTGTTTATGAAAACAGAAACACTACAACATATAAATGTTATTGTCCAATGAGGCTTAATGTTAATATCACTTTTAAGAGCCAAAAAAGAGTAGATTACTATAAACGTCATATATAAATTTGTGGTAAAGCCTACAAAAAACCTCACAGCTTTTGTAAATGTTGTGTCTTTTAAATCTTTGGAGAAGCAAATATAAATAAATGCTGGTAGAAATGTTGATAATGTAACATCAAGTAAGTCATATCCCTGATATTCTTTGCAACTAGAAAGATTATCAGTTATCTCACCATTATAATAACATTTAAAAGTATTATCAGTTGAATTGTATATAATTAAAGCTTGTGCTGTGGAGATAAAACTAAAAAGGTAAAATAAAATAATAATGGAGAATTTTCCAAGAGGCTTGGGTCGAATAATTTTAATGTTTAAATCGGTTGCAAAAAACATACTTTAAAAATTTAATGGACGAATTATTCAAGTAATGAAAGGTTTGACGAAATAGTGAACTATTTATATTATTTTGCTCATTGTATGTCCAAATTAAGCTTTGTTAATATTTTTGCCTTGATCAACATCATCGGATATTAAACATAATAAAATTCAACCAAAACTCTAATATTTTTATAATCACTATTGTATATAACAACATGTAAATAAATTATTTTATTTTATTATAGGTTTTGGACCAAGGCTATCAACCATAAACATGATAATAATAAAAATAGTATGAATTTTTTATCTGGTTATTTTAAATACATATCCATCTCTCATAACCTTCTAGAATTGTTATAGATAATTATTTATTGGATAAATTTATTTTGATTGTTTTGATTATTTTGATTGTAAAGATTTTTAATGTAAACTCGAAACTAATAATTATAATCCTACCAAAGTATTTTAGTAAAATTATATTCTTGAAAAAATTTCGAAAATTGAAATAGTACAAAGTTTTCTTACCATCTTACAAGAATTTTATCCAGGTAATGTTAGTAGAAGTGATCATTATTCAGCTCAAGATATGCATACAGAATTAATGAAATGGTGAAATATCTTCTAAATTAGAATCTACTCAACGTTATACTACAAACTATAGATCAAAAAGCTTCTGAATTTTATTAAAATATTTTATTGTTAAGTAGTTGTAGGAGATTTACATTTAGAGTTCATAATAACGAATACCATTGAAAACATTACTAATATATAAAAAAATTTTTTTTGAACTGCTTTATGACAGTGACATTGTCACTGGTGTTACTTATTATTTAAGTCTCTATTCAAATAAAGGTTATTATTTGAATTATTTGTAATTGATTGGTTGAATTACATATAGAAATTTTATAAGAAAAATTTCAAAGATTTCTAGTAGCTCTTATTGTATATATAAATATTTTTCTTACCTATTCTCCATTTTCAATTAATTTGTTGAAAAGATCCAGTTGAATTATTACTAGATTGTGATCTGTTTCTTCTTGATTTGTGTCTATGCTAGAGGTACTGTCTTCAATTGTTTCATTATCTGACATTAAATCATCAGTAATTTCTGATGATATTGTATTATCTATGTTAGTATCTTCAGAATTTTTGTTTGTATCTATTTGATTATCTTGATAGATCTTGGATGTTGATTGATAGTTAGAGTTTTTGGAATTGTTGGATAATTGGTTTTTTGGGTTAGGGTTGGGTGTACCCCAGAATGGATCTTCTCCTGTCCTCCCTTCATGGTAAGGTTGTGGGTGAAACCTCTTAATGACTGTCGAAACTCTGTCGAAACTCTAATGAACAATTAATGTGTAACCTGTCGAAACTCTGATGATTGGTGAAAACCCCAAATGCGAAACTCTGCCGAAACTCTAATAAACAATTATTGTGTAACCTGTCAAAACTCTGTCGATTGATTTCTGGAGTTTCTCCCACAACCTTACTTCATGGATTGTAAGTTTCATTCTTGTTTCATCTTTGCTTGAGTTTATTTTTTCTCTGAGAGTTTCCTTTTCATTGAAATGTTAGTCTTTTATTTTTTGATTTATTGTTGTGAATGGACTTTTGTAACATGTTGTTGTAGTTTGCAATTTTTTTCTTTCTTCCTTTTGTTAATGTAAATTATTTGGTTTGGTTGTGTAGTATTTCAATTTCAGTGGCCTTCGGGCCAGATTCTTCCTTATTTTTTCCTTTATTTTCTTTCAATTTTCTTATAATTTTTTTTGCTGCGCCACTTGGTAAATTTTTATTTTTGAAAGAAAAATTTATTAATTCACACTAAATTATTTTATTTATTGTATATGTTCTTATAATAATAAGAAATTTTGTTTCTTGTAAATTTCCAATTTAATTTCTTATAAATTTCCTGTAAATTTTCTACAAATGCTTTTCTTGATGATTTTGTTGATTTGACTTTTTGTAAATTTCTTGTAAATTTCCTGTAAATGTTTTTATTTTCCACAGAAAATTTCTTATAAAACTTTTTCATATAGAATAAGATTTGTGTAAATTTTTAATAAACTTTCTTATTTTCCTGTAACTTTTCTGTAAACTATTTTTCATAGGGCAATTCTGACAGACAAGATCACAGAAGCCTTAAACTTTTACTTCTAAGGTAACCTATTGAAATCAATTGATCAAATCGATCAAGTTTTACCAAAATATAAAGAAAAGTCAAAGCAATATATTAATATTAAAAAAAAATAGATTTTGCATAAAATGGGTTTTGTGTGCAGTCATGTGATTTTTTTCTATTCTAAATTCAATTGAAATAGCAAGTTTCACAATATAAAAAAGATTAAAAAAGATCAATGATTGATTTTGTCACAAGTGATAAAATGAATGTCCACTATGCTATCAAAAGTCCACTATGCTCACTCAACCACAGTCAAATATTCAATTGACAAATTGATTACCAATCGAATTTGGTTGATTCCAACCCTGGTCAATCAAGCATGGTGGACATTCTTTGTTGTCACATTTGTGCAAAGATCAACAAAACAATTTTATCACTTAATGTAACGCAAAATTAATTATTTTTGATTGGCTAAATCAAATAATTATAATTTTTATTAACTAAAAATGATGAAAATTGTATATTGCCATATTTAATTTTTGATCTAAACTTCTATCAATATTCAAGTCATTACCAAAATCACTAAAAGAAACATCATCTACTTCATTTTCATTTACTTCTACATTTAAATCATCCTCATTTAAATCATCTTCAAGTATTGATGCACTTGTATTTTCTAATCTTTCATTATATGAATTGCTTAAATCTTGTAATCCATTTATAAAATATTCAAGACAATATTGACATCTAAAATCCAGTTTTTGAAAACATTCATAATGATATGCATGACCACATATCAATACACAATCATTACTTTGATTTTCATTTTGTTTAATATTGCAATGTTCATAATCACAAAAGATCCTACTATTGGGTGGATTTGAGGTATGATATCCTGATGGTAATGCTTCCATTTGAACCTCAATATTAAAAGTAGATAATAAATAATTTTTCTGCTCTTTTGATGGAGGATTAATGTTATCTGAATTTGCCCAAATTTTTTGAAAGAAATCTAAGAGAAATAATGCAGATTTTTTTGTCATTGTATCAATTTTTTTTTTGTATATGGATATTTCTTTGTTAATAAAAATGGTTTTATAAATTCAGAATCATGTCTGTTATTGTCTATATTAATAGCATCATCTCTTAATCCTTCTGGGTTAAAATTTTTTCCTGATGTTCTTCGACGGATCAAACTATGAAAATTTTCTACAAAATATTCATTAAATTCAGATAAATGATCTTGAAGGATATTATACATTGGATGTTCAATTGTTTGCCAATAAAAAATATCTGAAAGAAAGGCTAACATAATTTTATCATAGTTTTTTCTGCCAAATTTTTTCATAAATGTCCATAACTGAAAAATTGTTTCTATATATTGCTCAAAATGACCTTCTCTGAATAGAACAGCATAAACATCTAATGCAGCTGGCATACAATTGTCCAATAAATCCAAAAATGTTTGATATTCAACATTTTTACTAAACTTGAATTTTTCCATAACAGATTTTCTAATTATCATCCATCCTGAATATGCAAGATAAATAATAAGATTGATCATCCATGGCTGTGGTTTTTTCTTTTTTTGAAAAGTTTCTTTATATGGGGCATGCTGCAACAAAACCAGACAAAGTGAACATTGGTATTACAAAGAATTTCAGGGATCAATAGTGTTTGTTTAACATCACAATTGTACTATCTGCATATTTGTCTAGACAAAAATAGTTAATATGAAATTAATTTATATCAGATCTACTATGGAACCCAAGAATTATAGTACTATCAGAAGTAATTTGAAGAAAGAACAAGGTGAAAAAATTGCTCCTTATATCTTCAAAATAAATGATACTCAGACACTGGATGCTTATCTAAAGAAAGAAAGGATTACCTATGAAATTTACCAAGAAAGAAAAATAATAAATGTTAGAAAAAGAAAGCAACATGATGATGCATTGTTACCTAAAAAAAAGCAAAAATCTTTAAAAGGAAAATAAATATCATTTTCTTTGATGGTTGGAATGAATTTCAATTTATACAGAATATCCTTTAAACTACTTTTTTATTTTCAATCAAGGTCATTTCTTAGTTTCTTTAATCTCAATTTGAGCAGTTAGTTGAGTCTGCTGTTCCTTTAACTGTTCAACTTCACTTTTAAGTCTTTGAATTTTATCTAATAATTCTTGCTTCTGCTTATTATGCCAATCCTTTGAAACTTCTAAAGCTTCTAAATGAGAACTGATTTCTTCCTTAGCACTGGATAGTTGCTGTTTTAAATCTTTATTCTGCTGTTCTAATCTGCCAACATAACTCTGTGCCATTATTTCTGTTATGGTTGGAGTTTTGACTGGTTCATCTTTCCTCAAATCACAAAAACAGTCTATTCTGTTTCTCATAATTCTACCACAATCATTACAACCATGGCAAAGTATCATCATCAAGAGCTTTTTTACACTCAACACAAATATAAGCAATGTCATTGTAATCATTATTGCTTGTATTGTAAGATACTATTTTGTAAGTAGCAGTTAAACTCCTTTTTCTTTCAAAAGGACAGAAATTACAATGCCATTTATCTCCTCTCCTCAGCTCATTAACTTGATATTCTAATTTCATGCTATTTATTCTTTTGCAAGATATAGGTTTCAAATTTTTCTTGAGTTATTGCTTTTATTTGGCTAACTTTGTTCTTTACTTTGTTAGTTAGGAGTTTGAGTTTTCCTTCTTTCTTTGGTAAGGATGGTAATTCTTGGAGTTGCTTGCCAGATAAATATTTCTGCCATGCCACAATATTTTCCAACATTTCTATTTTCCTAGAAGCTCTTTCTAAGTTGTCATCTTTTTCTTTGCTTTGTCTTATTCTCCACTGTTTAGCCACTTCAAGAGCCTCTAAGTGGCAGTCAGATGTTTCCTCCTCTAATTCTAATGCTTCTTCTAATTGTTGAATTTCCTCTGCTTGACTTTTCAATTCCTCTTCATAATCTCTCTTTTGTTGATTCAATTGACTATTTAAATTGCTTATTCTAGAATAGCTTCCAGCATAACTACCACCTAATTCATTTGAATAATCAATAAACCCTTCTAACATTTCTTCAATTGTAATGTTATCAAAATAAATTCTTTTACAATTCTTAGCTCATTCTCTAGTTTCATTAGGATCTATTGCCATTCTTAACTTACCTTCATCCATTCACTTTTTGTTTAGTTTCTTATATCAACATGTTCCCTTAGGAGCATACATACTAACTTCACCCTTTTCATCAAGAGACTGACCAGTAACATGTCAGATTTTTAGTTTAAGATTTTCTTTATCTGCTAATTGCTTCTTTAAATTTTCATTCTCTTCTATCATTTTTTTATTACTTTCTTGGAGTTCACTTATAATGTTTGTCATGACTTTCTTTTTATTACATTTTTTTTTATTAATATACTAATATCCTTTTTATAAGGGCATATTAAGTATATAGATTATTTTAGTACTTTTTTACTTTAAAAGTGGAAAAAACTAACAATATTTGTCAAAAGTTTAAACTTATTAAACTTAATGACAGTAAAGGACAAACTAACAAGTGTGATAAAGTAATGAAGGTGTTTTTGTTCTAAATATTTTATTTGTTGCAAATATAGAATGGTTTTGGGCAAGTAATATCTTTGAATTCATCTCTAACAAATGGACGAATATTCTGGTAAAGATATTCTTGCCTTTTGTAATCCAAAGGAGGTGGCATTAACACTAAAATAGATAGAGCTTTAATTTCTTCAAAAATATCTGCTTTCTTGGTTTTCAACAAATTGAATTCAACAGAAGGTCCATTAGCAACTTCTTGAACTTTCACTGTACCAAGATTAGATGCTTCAAAAAGAAAATGTTGATATCTTTGCAAGCCATTTAGCTTCTTAAAATAAATTCCCAAAATAGACTTGATATCTAAGTATTGAAAACCTTTTCCACCTCCATAACATTGAGTTTTATTCAATCCTGCTGGACTAGACTTTTTTATCACTTCAACCACATGACCCAGACAATCTACTCTTGTTTTCCTATAGAGTTTTTTTATTAAACCAAAACTACCATCACACTTGAATTTGGTGTTTCCAGGAATCATAAAATTTAATTCAATACTTTCATAATAACCACAAATTACTAAATATAAATAAAATCAAATAGTAGTATTATTTTTGTTTTGTCCACCAGCATTATCACAAGTAATCTTTAAATGCTTTTCACCTTTATTTAATTTCTTAATTCCATCAAAGATCAAACTAAGAGTTCCATTAGGTCCTTTTCCTATAGTTTCATTTTCATTAAGAACATAATTAATTTGTTCCCTTACT